CATGGAGCATTTTCAACCCCAGGGTTAAACTCAGCCCTGTTTACCAGGTTGAAATTTCAGCCCTGTCTGTAATACAAAACTCTATCAAAATCAAACGCGCGATTACATGACAAAATTTTCAACCCATGCAGGGCTGAGTTCAACCCCGGGGTTGAAATTTCAACCCTGCTTCAGCTAGCAGGGTTAAAATCTCAACCCCGGGGTTGTAATCGTTTCAACCCAGGGTTGAAATTATCATGAGTTATAAATTCGAGCATGCGTGGTAGTGACTATATTTATTACAAGAAAACAAAATGAAGGCTTTTTTTACCTCTGGGAATTGATGCCGAGAACATATAGTATAGCATGCTTGTGTCATGTTACTCTGAGTGTACAGTACTGCCAAGAAATAACTTGTCTCCTCGTCTGCCCGCGTTCTGCCTCCAGAGCGCCCGCGTCCGGCCTCCACGACGCCCGCGTCTTGCGTTCGCTCTGCCCGCGTCCTGCCTCCAAAGTGCCCGCGTCCGGCCTCTAGTTAAAACCTGCGTCCGCTTGGACGCAGTCGTCGTAACATAATCGGAAAAACGAACTAATATTTGCATCATACTCGTAGTTTGTCGTGAGAATACAGATCAGTGTCACTGATCGGAGAAGCAAAGAATAAAAAGTTGAATCCGAAAACGAGTTTCATTGAACCTAAGCGTTACATTTAGTACTACCATTTTATAATGTTATACGTTATACTACGGTAAGCGTAGTGCTTTCACAATGCAATCACACGTACTTGACTGGTGATTGAAGCGTATATGACTGTATATTGGAGCGTAAAATAGACATACATGTAAACTATATATAAATATAATGTAGACACATATACTAAACTCAGTGAGATCACGACTACAACGAGTATATATCTCGCAACACATTCATTTGCTACTCAAATTCTGACTTACCTCGAAGAAGATTGCCGATTAGTTGATATGCAATTCTGTATTTGAATAATGTTATGTCTCCGTAACTCGTCAGCATATTAAAATGAAGATGATCATTTACAATATATATAGTGCTTTTGATTTTTCATATAAAATATCATTACTATACGAGCCACTATATAACTATTTACAGCAACAAGTTTTTGTTGTTTTTCCAAAACAAAGTAAATGCACATATGGTGATATGTCATATAAATTGACAAATGACTTCTCTTAATCCCTTATTGGAATACCTTTACATGTCCAGGAAACAGTCTTTGTGTTTCAACACGGTTCAATGACTGTGACTCATCGCTTGATTTTCAAAGTTGCAGTATAATTCGTTAAAGCTGAAGTGAAGAGCTCAGACTAATATCACTCGATCCGTATTACTATCAGACTAATAAAATGAGGTATCGATCGCTTACCCGTCAACCAAAACGTATGTCACTGGGTTTCTTCGAAGAAGATATAAAACCATACGTGCATTTTGCCAACCGGCAACGTTAAAAGAATACTGGGTTTAAACCAAACGTTATACGAAGGTGCGAAAGTAGAGATCAAATACGAAAAGGAACTTTACGAAGCACAAATTCTGAAAATTCACGGTAAGTTTAATATTAGAAATATAAATATCTACGTCTGCAACGCTTGTGTATAAGCATAAAAACGTGGTGTGAAATCGCTAACATGAATATTTTCCGACGCCCACGGTGTAATCCCAATGGCAGAAAACAACAAATGAAGTGGACTAACAATTGAAATTACTTGACTGTAAACCAATAAGATTACATTCGGGTTGTATGGTGCGCAGATTTTTCGAACTCGATAGATGATAGGCAAATGAACACAGACACAGTTCGCAAATAAGGTTATACTTTATAATACGGATCCAAAATGTTCACGAGAATAGAAGATCGATATAGTCGTATACAATCGGTTATCGATTATCGTATCGTTTTTCGGTTCGAACTAAATAACATGACAATGAAAAATATCTACTTAAACTATGAAAATACTGTTTGCGTGACTATAGCATGAATCACGCGATCGCACGAATACGCAATAACTATCAATAAATGAACTATATCATACCCTAACATGCATTAACTAAACATAAGTGAATATTTCAACTGAATATACAATAACTAAATCATTTAACAACATATAGAACCTACGATTGCAACTGTACAAAAGAAAGGTCAAATGTGTACTCACGTTGGTTTACACGCGCACCAATGACCTTTAACTTTGGCTTGAAAACCACAGCGAGTACGTAGAATACAATGTGGATAGAAATAGTTTACCAACAGCTATCACGATAGCGTCCACAGATACAAAACTTTGTCCTTACACAACAGAACGTACTAGAGCCTTGACCTTCCTTGAGTCACGCAACTATATCTAAAATTCGATCCCGGAGGCGCAACTAGATTGACATAATGTCAAATAAAGCTGCATAATTTGCGTCGCGTTAATTAAGGTGATGACGTTTACAATATATTCGCGTTTTAAAACTAACATTCCGGCCCCTTAAAGGCGAAACCATGAGTGGCCTTTACCTTATAATAATATAAAGTTTTGAAACGAAACTAAAGTCAATAGAAATAACAAACAAGAAATAACTAAACGTTCTATCGTTAATTATATTAATAATGTTCATGCACAAAATGTCTACTTATCGTTTTGGGTGACATCAGCTCCCTCCAACAGCACAATCTTGTTAACTGGTCTTGTAAGTTCGGACGTTGGTCTTCAACTTCACTGAACGTACGAGCCCATCATTGCGGTTAATATACACCTCCAAAACTCGTCCGAGTGGCCAGAAATGTCGCGGAGTTTTATCATCAAGGACCAACACGATGTCATCCACTGCGAAATTTCTCTGCTGCTTGTTCCATTTCTGCCGTAACTGCAAGGATGGGAGATACTCCTTAACCCAACGTCGCCAGAATACATCTGCCAAGTACTGTACTTGACGCCATCGCCGACCGTAAACGTCTTGTTTGGAGAGGGAAGCGGGTGGAACTGAGGGTCCGGCTCTGAGCATCAATAGGTGGTTAGGGGTTAGAGGTTCCATATCTCGTGGGTCGTCAGAAAGCTTAGTAATAGGTCGCCCATTCACGATCGCTTCGACTTCGCACATTAAAGTGTTGATTCCTTCGTCGTCCAATACTTGTTCTTTGATCACCGCCTTGATCACCTTTCGCGTCGTCCTGATGCATCTCTCCCAAACACCGCCGTGATGTGAACCGGTTGGAGGATTAAACATCCACTTAATATTATTCTGCAGTAGGAAGTCATGAATCTGCGATTGGTTCCATTCCTTAACAGCCTCGCGTAGCTCTTTTTCTCCTTTCACAAAGTTGCCGCCGTTATCCGACCGAATTAGCTCGGGTTGTCCTCGTCTCGCGATAAATCTACGTAGGGCATTAACGAATGACCCTGTGTCCAATGAACTTGCGACTTCGAGGTGAATAGCACGTATGGTTAAACAGGTAAATAAAACACCATAACGTTTTACTGTGGTACGGCCACGTCGCACTTCAAACGGCCCAAAACAGTCGACTCCTGTGTATGTGAAAGGTGGCCTCGAAGGCGTCGTTCGATCTTCCGGAAGATTAGCCATTTTCTGTTGAGACATAGGTGCTTGTCGTTTCTTGCAACTGATACACTGCTGGTTAAGGATTTTCCGTACGGTCCTCCTTCCGTTGATGATCCAGTATCGTTGTCGTATCAGAGACAAAGTATATTCTAGGCCTGAGTGCCCAGAAAGGTGGTGGTAGTGGTTCACGATGAGGGTGACTACGTGGTGGTTTTTGGGTAGGATAACGGGATGTTTTGCATTTTGGTAAATTGGTGCTCGCCCCAGGCGGCCTCCAACGCGTAAAAGCCCTTCGTTTACCACTGGGTCGAGGTTGAAAATTTTGCTTGACTTCTTAAGTAGCTTTGCGCCTCTCGAGCACATTGTTTGCTGGTTGATTTTATTAAGAAACTCGCGTTCCTCCCTGAACGATTGCCCTTGTATGTACTTCAGGATTTCAGATTCCGCATTTTGAATCTCGACTACGTCGATAGGAGCAATCGGACCGGATGACTTAATTGCGACCAATTCCCCCGCCTTTCGTTTCTTGCTTTCACGTAGTAGATTCGCCTTGTACCGAAGCACCCACGCCGTAATTCTTTTCAGACGATTCCAAGACGAATAACGTTCGATCATTCTTACTACTGGATTTGGATCAGAACCATGACTTGCACATACAATGGGTGATTTGACTTCAGGATCGGCTTCATCAACATTCACGTTCATTTCGGCTGGTCGTTTTGGCCAGTCTTCGTTCGATTGACATAGGAACTCTGGTCCTTGAATCCAACGCTCGAGAGAATTTGCTGGCACGCCCCTTGAAGCATCGTCGGCTGTGTTTAGCTCGGTATTGACATAATTCCATTGGGATGGGGAAGATGAGTTGTGGATGGCAGCGACTCGATTCGCCACGAACGTTTGAAATCTCTTGTCTTGGTTCTCGATGTAACGTAACACACACGTACTGTCAGTCCAAAAGGAGGATTGATCGATCGGAAAACTTAGTTCTCGACGTGATATTTTGTCTAGCTTCGTTGCTACGACTGCCGCTGACAATTCCATACGAGGGATTGGTTTGATAGGTGCAAGCCTTGATTTGCCCATCACGAACGAGCACTTTACATTTCCATCTTTATCTTTAACTCTAAGATACGTTACAGCTCCGTACCCGTGTTGTGATGCGTCTGCAAAGTGGTGTAGTTGAGTGTCGTTGACTTCTCCTAGAACAGTGGGTTTAAAACATCGATCAACAGCTAGTTGTTCCAGATTCGGTAGCTCTTGTAGCCAAGCTCGCCAGCGATTGCGGTATTCCTCGGGAATTTCTTCATCCCACCCCAACTTCTTCCGACATAGATCTTGGAGAATGAGTTTGGCTTGAAGAATGAATGGAGCAGCAAACCCCAGCGGATCGTATACAGAACTGACAATCGACAAGATACCCCTTCTCGTCGCTGGTCGATCTTTAATGACAATCTTGAAACAAAATTGATCTGATGATATGTTCCATTGGACGCCAAGCGCTCTCTCAACCGACCAACTGTTGAAATCAAGATTCTTGACTATGGAAGCTCTTTCAGATTCAGGCAAGGACTCGATGACCTTTCTCGAGTTGGAGAGCCATTTCGTAAGTTTGAAGCCCCCTCGGCCAAGTAGTTCGCGCAGCTGCTTCGCAAGATCAACGGCTTTGTCCTCTTCGCTGACTGACTTAAGACAATCATCGACGTAAAAGTTCCGCTTTACCGTTTCGATGACCTTGGGATTGAAATCTGCCTCGTTATCTCTAGCTGTTTTCTTCAGTGCAAAGTTAGCACAACTTGGAGATGATGCCCCACCGAATAAGTGAACTCTCATTTCATATTCTTCTGGCTCTTTGGAGAGGTTTCCTTCAGGCCACCACAGGAATCTTAAGGCGTCGCAGTCGCTCGGGGGGACCCGCACTTGATAAAACATCGCTTCGATGTTAGCAATCAACGCCACCGGTTCTTCTCTGAATCTGGTTAATACACCGATGAGAGTGTTCGTGAGATCCGGCCCCTGTAACAGCTGGTCGTTCAGCGAGGTATCACGATGTTTGGCAGAGCAGTCAAACACGACTCGAACCTTATCAGGTTTCTGTGGGTGGAATACCGGGTGGTGTGGGAGATACCACTGGGTTTTCAAAGGTCCGAGATTTTGATTGGATACCTTTCTGGCGTGATCTTTGATTAGTAGACCGTCCATAAACTGCTTGTACTTCTCTAATAGTGATGGATCGTGTTGAAGTCGTCTCTTTAGTGAGAAAAGTCGTTTCTCCGCTTGTAATCGGTTGTTTGACAGATTCGGTGGATAATTTTTCCATGGTAGTCCGATCTCATAATGACCGTCCACTAACTTCGCTGATTGTTCCATGATATTTAGTGCTTTCTTATCATTTTGAGACATGGAAGCTTTCGATTCGTAGGTCACGTCATTAAACTCCATATTACAAAAGTCTTCGAAACGCTGATTTAGACTATTGTCTGCTTGAACGCAATTCGCAGTCGGCACCTCGATCGCTTCTCTTCCGAGTGGTCCATTTAGAACCCAGCCTAGCAGTGTTCTTGTTGCAAAGGGACCTCCGCTCTCGCTCATTCGTACCTCCTGAGGTTGCAGAATCTCTGGAGCATCACTGCCGATCAAAAGACCGATCTCGGCCTCGATATGCGGGATAGATATTCCTTTTAGAAGTGGCCAGCGCTTGACGTCTTGACTTCTTGCTTACCGATGCAGTCAGAGCGAATAGGTAAACTTGGTGTTGAGTACACTTTCGCTAGTTCGACTCGATTTTGATTATCTAAATCAAAGATTTCTAGCTTAACCATAGAACATTCTGTCGGAGTTCCTTCACCAAGCATTGTTGTTAAGGATACCTTGGTCTTCTCTCCTTGATCCTTGAGCTTCTTGAGAAGACTTTCGGTACAAAACGAGGTGTTTGAGCCCGAGTCCAAGAATGCGTAAGTTTCGACCACTTCAGATCTTCCTTTTGCCTTCACTCGAACTGGAACGATAGCAAGACCCGTCACCGAGGAACTGTTCAACTGGCTTGATTTTGAAGAAATCTTTACATAACCGTTGTTAGCTGGACTGGAACTATTTTCACGTTCTTCTTCCTTTGTTGGCGGTTTTGGAGGCGTCCTTTCTCTGTTGTTCTCTCCATCAGTTTGAGTAGACCTTGGGTGAAGAAAGGTTGAGTGCTTTCCTGAACATCCTTCTACCTTACAGAAACTTTGCTTTGCACACGAGCGAACGAAGTGACCACTTGTGAGGCAATTTAAACACAGTTTGTTGTCTCTCACGTATTTCTTTCTTTCCTCAAGAGACAGTTTGCGAAACTTATCACAACGCGATAGCCAATGATTTGCATTGCACGGGCATGTACTCTTCTTCGGTTTTCCTAGTTCTCCCTGTGTTGAGAAACCGCTCGCTCTGGAACCAAATTGTCGCTTTCCTTTGTTGTCTTCCTGTTTTCCCTTATTTTCATTCACGATCTTTCCAAAAATCGGATGGGTAGCTGCTCTCGCTTTGGCAGTCACGAATTCTGTCACGTCCTCAATCGTCACGTCTCTTCCTTCTTTCTCTATAATACGGTCGACAGTATCACGCCATTTTAATCTCATGCCAAAAGGAAGCCGGTTGATAATTTTCTTCAGATTTTCAGGGTGATCCAGCTTGCTTAGAGAGCCAATTTCTTTCAACGTATTTGTGCAGCTGGTGAGTTGTATGGAGTACTGTAGAAGAGCATTTCCGTCCTCAGATTTAATTGATGGTCCTTCTGTCAAGGTCTGCACATGGGCTGCGGCGATTCTGTATTTCTGTCCGTATCTTTCTTTTAGCAACCTTCTTGCTTCTGTGTAGCCTTGCTCTGGGTTCATCGACAGACAACTTTTCATAAGGTCTTGGGCAGGTCCTGATGTGTACTGGATCAGGTAGTATAGGCGAGCACTGGAACTTGGCGTTTTCACTTCGACAAGATGCTCAAAGCCCCGAATAAAATCACAATATTCTATGGGATCTCCTCTGAATGCCTTTATCGTTGGTTGTGGTAACGTCAGCGCCATGACACTTTGTTGTTGCTGTTGCACTATCTGCTGGAGGGCGCTACTCTGACGGTCTTGAGTCTCCATTAGGCGTTGAAGTGGATAATCGTGTGGGTAGCCGTCATGATGATGAGGTAAAGATGACTGATTTGGAAGCCACCGAGGTACACTAGGGTTAAGCTGTTGCCTTTGTTGCTTTACTGGTGTCTCTTTCGGTTGGTACTTCGCTTGTGCTTTGGGTGATTGCAGATTAGTTTTCGTTTTGAGTTCTGAGACTAATTCGTCGACTGAGTTGAAATAGACAGTTGAATCATTTAGGTCTTGCTCTTCCTTAAGCAAGCTATGATACGCTTCGTGTGCGCTTTGAAATTGTATGGAAACCTCGTCTAAATCATTTGCAATTTCCTTTATTGTGTCAACATTATCGCACGCTGTCAATAACTCATTAAGCTTGTTGGCTTTTCTGGTGACATTTCCTTTGGCAGTACTTCGCGCCTTTCTTAATTGTTCCATAATTTGGCTTATCTCTAAGTCCACTAAGAAGCTGTAATTGGTTCAGTACGTTTTTAATTATGCGCGGTTGATCAGGAAATTCTTCGCATTCCTTAACCGCGCCGCAAGCACGTGCACGATCTCAGGCAGCAAATTCCTTAAATTCTTCGAATTCTTTTGCCGTGTAGCAACTTCGAACTTAAAGGTAATCCCAATGGCAGAAAACAACAAATGCAGTGGACTAACAATTGAAATTACTTGACTGTAAACCAATAAGATTACATTCGGGTTGTATGGTGCGCAGATTTTTCGAACTCGATAGATGATAGGCAAATGAACACAGACACAGTTCGCAAATAAGGTTATACTTTATAATACGGATCCAAAATGTTCACGAGAATAGAAGATCGATATAGTCGTATACAATCGGTTATCGATTATCGTATCGTTTTTCGGTTCGAACTAAATAACATGACAATGAAAAATATCTACTTAAACTATGAAAATACTGTTTGCGTGACTATAGCATGAATCACGCGATCGCACGAATACGCAATAACTATCAATAAATGAACTATATCATACCCTAACATGCATTAACTAAACATAAGTGAATATTTCAACTGAATATACAATAACTAAATCATTTAACAACATATAGAACCTACGATTGCAACTGTACAAAAGAAAGATCAAATGTGTACTCACGTTGGTTTACACGCGCACCAATGACCTTTAACTTTGGCTTGAAAACCACAGCGAGTACGTAGAATACAATGTGGATAGAAATAGTTTACCAACAGCTATCACGATAGCGTCCACAGATACAAAACTTTGTCCTTACACAACAGAACGTACTAGAGCCTTGACCTTCCTTGAGTCACGCAACGATATCTAAAATTCGATCCCGTAGGCGCAACTAGATTGACATAATGTCAAATAAAGCTGCATAATTTGCGTCGCGTTAAGGTAATGACGTTTACAATATATTCGCGTTTTAAAACTAACAATGCGGGCGCATATGAGGTTATAGTATCATTAATCGTTTTTGTCAAAACGTCACCTAAAATAGGTATAACTAATTTTGGCTGTATTTAAGGCGCTGTTACACTAAGCAACTTGTCTCGGAACTTACGATGTTAAGAAAAACAATTTCAGGATTGCATTGGAAGGGATGTTACACCAAGCAATGCAACTTGCAATGATCATTATTAAAAATAGTATAAAAACCGCAAGTATACTAACGTTTGGTGCCATATAATCAGCCAAAAGCCAAAAGCAAGCCATTCAGTGTATAAACATTGCGAGACAAGTCGCAAGAGGGATGTTACTGTGCAATGCTTTAAAAATACGTTGCAGCGTTGCCGCAATCATTGCAAAAAGTAGAACCCGATTCTACTTCGTACAATGGTTGTTGCAACGAAAATATTGCGAAACTTGTTGATTGCGAGGCATGATACCATACTGATGATACACCTTGCAATTTCGCGTGCAACTTGTGTCGCAACAAAATTGCGAGACAAGTTGCATAGTGTAACCTCATAGCGCTCGTGTGACAGGAAGCAAAAATTTTTAAAATCTTACGTTGTTTCATATGCATTGAAGATTGCCGTGAACTGATACAAACACAATCTGCTGTATTGGTGTAATGTACTCAGGTGAATAAGATGTTTGTGTGATGTTACTCTGAGTGTATATCCACACCGGGCAGGCTTTAAAAATATGCCTGACCACGGCGGGATTCGAACCTACAACCTTTGGAATACTAGCCCAATGCTCTTCCAACTGAGCTACGCGGTCAGGACGGTTCGAGTATGCGATATTTCGGAACTGAAATATTCCGAAATATCGCTTACTCGAACCGTCCTGACCGCGTAGCTCAGTTGGAAGAGCATTGGTCTAGTATTCCAAAGGTCGTAGGTTCGAATCCCGCCGTGGTCAGGCATATTTTTAAAGCCTGCCCGGTGTGGATATACACTCAGAGTAACATCACACAAACATGATACAAACACAGTTTTTAATCCAGTCCTCCCTCTGCAATCTGACGCGGCCTTCTCCGCAAACCCTCGTTGCATCACGGGAAGCCAGATCGTGACCTTCCCATGAGGCAACGAGGGCTTGCGTAGGAGGCAGAATCTGACGTCGTGTTGACAAAAACGTGGCTTCCTTAAGCCATGGCCTATCGAAGGGAAGATGGCTGTGAAACTCATTAGAATAATAATATTTAACAATTATTCGCCGAAGGCGAAGTGATTACCGGTGAATATTCACCGAGACGAAGTCGAGGTGCATAATATTTACCGTAATCACTGCGCCTGAGGCGAATAATTGTCTTAGTATAAATTTTTAATGAATAAAACAAAATATCCAAGTTATCCAACTATAAGTTTAATTAAAATTCAGAAATAAAACTGTTTTCGACCGGTTTACGGTTTAGTGTTGCAGTGTTTCTTGTACACGCACGCTTTCAAAATGGCTTCCTGTGCGACTTTATTGCTTTATTACAAAGTTATTTTTCTCGATTTCTGCTTAGAATATAAACACAATGATGGAATGACTTTTTTACCAGACTTAGAATTAAAAAATAGTTTCTGTTTAGCATTATTAAATTTGTTCAGGAAATGGCTGAGAAATTTGGTAAAATGAAATGTAAAACTATATCGTTCGAATTAATATAAAAGTCTTAATACACTTTTCACTTTACAAGTTTTAAAAACACAAATAGTACAATACAGCGAAAGGACACCATACAGCACAATGAAAACACGACATAGTCAAAAGAAATAGTATCGTACAAATTGAGATATTTATAGGATACAAAACAAAATTGTTTTAAAAAGAATACCACGGCTTTTCCCAAAATTCGGGATATTTTTTGCTATTTCAGATTAACGTTTGAAGCGAATGTTTCGGAGTTTTAAATAAGTTTTAAATTGTCCGTGAACATGTTTGACACAGTAATATAATACTAAATCCTACCTTTCAAGTTAAATACAACATTTTGTGCTTTTTTTTCTTTTTCTGGGACGATTTTTTCAATATTTTGTCGATTTTGAAACCAAATTTGCCGAATCATTTTTTTTGAAAAGCATTATTTACTACCCAGGTGGTAAATAATGCCTCAGATTTACTAGTCAACTAGCCAATCAGAACGCGCGAAAGCTCATTTGATCTGCAAAATTTATACTAAAAGTCATTATCTATGTTGGTCAACGTTTATTCATAAATCTAGTCCTTTACCGTCACGTGTGTATTATATTCTTGCCCAACTAACCAATAGCAATGTTTTAGGAAAGTCACCTATCCGTGCTATTGGTGCATTAATACACACGTGACGGTGAAACGACCAGATTTATAAATAAACGTTGACTAACATGGATAATGAGTTATATTGTTATTCTAATCAGTTTCACAGCCATCTTCACTTTGATAGGCTATGCTTAAGCTCGCTATATAATGATATAATTACCCCATACGCGCCCGCATTACTGCAAACTTTTAAAGTAAGTTTATCATTTGGATTATTTTACACTTGTTACTGACAGTATAGTTGAGCCCCCCTGCGGAAAAACTAATTTGAATTACAAAGCATTTGTCTTTTGACTTTATTTGTAAATTGCATGGAACGCACAAGTATTCTTTACTTTACATAACTATACACGCTCGCATTTAAGTGCGTGGCCGCTCTTAAAAATTGCAAATATTTACAATTATATTTTTGATTTTTTCGCTTAAACTTGAGAGAATCTTGCGTGAAAAGTTCTTGAAAGCTTCATACATAAAGAAGGTGAATTTGGAGCGGCTTTAAAGATGATTTCTTGGCGTTTCTATTTCGTATTTGTTGTGGCTTTCTACTCGAAGTCCGTAGCTTGCTCAAGCGACAGTTCAAACTCGACAAGAACCGTCGTCATAATCGTTGTTGTTGTTTTTAACGTACTATTTTGGGGTTGTTTTTGTTGTTCTCTCTGTCGAAAGCGCTATGAAAGTACCATTGTGATTGAACGAGTCGTCACCGCTCCTCCCGCGGCTGTTGTTGCCAATTTATCAAACATTGAAATGATGAATACAGCATCAGGATATACACCAGAGCAACAAGGTTATGACCCTCGACAACCGGCATATTACCCACCACTGAATACAATCCCAAGACACGGCGATGGTTTGGTGAACCCGGCTTGTGGTCCTCCCCCACCGTACACTGAGAGCCCTCGATCTTGAAATGGTACGAACACTCTTGAATTGCCAGTGTAGGTAGTGCCGATAATATGAACAATAAAGTGCCTATGACACGAAATTTCACCCCAAATGTTTATGATTGCATTGTAAAGATCACTTAAAATGACTTAATAATTTCTTTTATAGAATTTTGATAACTTGCTTCCTTTGCAAGATATTCAACTTTGTTTCATATGCAAATATCACCGGTGTGACATCGCATCGCATGATGACATTTTGAAAACGCAATATTTTACTTTGATAAAATATGTTTACAAGCAAATACAGACGGTCAAGTACCAGTTATGAAATTAATACATATACAAGGGCAATTTTTAAGTTTTTTAGACACGTATTCGTCAAGAAAACTATACTTTTGGGAAAACTCATTATGTGATGTGATGTCACACCGGTGATATTTGCATATGAAACAAAGTTGAATATCTTGAAAAGGGAACAAGTTACCAAAATTCTATAAAAGAAATTATTAAGTCATTTTAAGCGATCTTTACAATACAACCATAAACCTTTGGGGTGAAATTTCGTGTCATAGGCACTTTAAGGGATGCAACTACTTGTAGGGATATGTCGAAGGGCCTTCGCTCGAAACGTCGAAATTCTCCTTATATTTTTCAGGTAGTTGCATCCCTACTAACGAAAGCTTGTACACACGTAAAAACGCACAAATTGGTACAGGTCTGCAAACAAGTTGTTGCAAATCCGTTCACAAACTGTCGACAAGTTGTGTTCGCACTGCTTGTTCCCAGTTGTTGGAACAAGTTTGAAACAAGCTGCTATCAATTTGTAACAAGCTTGATGGCATTATCATGCGGACTTGTATGCCGAAGTTGTTCTAACAAGTCTGATACAGTCATGATATAACAAGAATGTTACAAGGTTGACGACACAAGGTTGTAACAATATTGTTATATCATGACTGTATCGGACTTGTTGGAACAACCTTGCAACAAGTCTGACAATATCAACAAGGTTGTTGCAAGTTGTTAACAGTTTATTCCAAACTTGTTGACAACTTGGGACAAGCAGTGCGAAGACAACTTGTTGGCAGACTTGCTACAAGATGTGAAACTTTTGCGTGTGTACAATATAGTCTGTATATCTGAACTAATTATAAACTGTATATATAGTCTGTAGAAAGTCTGTAGTCAAATAGGTTAACGTTTTGGGGTATATAGTGTTGCAACATAAACAATTTGAAAGCAGGATTGTTGATGCAAAGTATGGAATATTATGATATCTCAAACGTGTAGGTGCTATTCCACAATAAGCTGATGTGTTTTTTGTCTGAAATACTACCTGCAAATATAATGAGAACTCCCAATCTTGATCATTGTGTGATCTTCATGTTACTATGATGTTAGTGTAAAGAATTTTAGTCTTTTTAGAAACTGTTAACTTGGCAAACGTAACATTTGAACAGAGTTCAAACTTAAAATAATTTGAAGGATATTTTATTGAGTTCGCGTAATGTTTTTAAAGAACGAAGCAATAATACGAATGATTATACGGATCCTCAGCTTCTATTTACGGACCGTACGAATTTGTCGGGCGGTGAATCGTGAACTGTTGCCAGCGTGTTGCGACAAGAAGTTTCTTCATGTTTTCATATTACAACATGCAGGAACTTATTTAGGCATCTTATAGGCATCATCATCGTAATGTAAAGGATTTTAGTGGATTGATAATGATTTGTAGTATGTGGTGTCGACTATTGTTATTGCATAACAAAGCTTAAGTAAACAGCAAGGCAAATTTAAGTCGAATCCGAAGGCCATTATAAATGCTTCGTGGAAATCATGATTCAATATACTGTATAAGCAGGTCTCGTCAATATGTAAAATTTAAACTGGAAATAGTCACCTACAAAACACTCCTACAATTAAGAACTTCAACTTCCTTTACCTTTACAAGGACAAAAAATCTTTGTTTCTTTGATATCGACAGAGCTACGGCCTATGATTTCAGTGGTAATTAAGATATTTGAATTATTTTGAAATTCTATATATATAAGATTATACAAAGCAACCTCGCAAGCTAGATCTCGCCTCTGCGCTCCTGCCTCGCTTGGATTGAGACCCTAGTACTATTAGCCGGTCACATTACCCGTCGTATTTTGGCGGATTTGATAGTTTGTCTCTGGGAAGGGGCCAAGTAAGTAGTGGGTTTGTCACTTATGCGATTCATGAATTTCCATTATGGAACAAACCAACTATACTTGCGCGGCTTCTTCCCAGAGACAAATGATCAAATCCGCCAAAATACGACGGGTCAGGTGACCGGCTAATACTATATAGGGTCTCAAATCAAGCGAGGCAGGAGCGCAGATCGAGATCCTAGCTTGCGAGGTTGCATACAAAGGTATAAAGTTCTGTATATTTGTAACATTTCAAATTATAGAATTTGATATACCTTTTATAAGCTTTGTATATCCTATAGAATGTTAAGAATAATCTGTAAATCGAAGTATTACGAACACTGAAGAGGAAAAAACTAATTTGAATCACAAACCATTTGTCTGTTCATTTTTTTTAGTGCGTAAATTGCATGAAACACGTCAAGTATTCTTTACTTTACATAACTAAATATATTTGAACGCTTTCGTGCATATCGTGTCGATTATGCTACACGTTCGCATTTACACAGTGCGTGTAGCCGCTCTTAAAAATCGCGAATAATTTTAAATTTACTTTTGATTTTCTCGCTTGAACTTGAGAGAATCTTGCGTGAAAAGTTCTTGAAGAAGGTTGCATTTGGAGCGGCTTTAAAGATGATTTCTTGGCTTTTCTATTTCGTATTTGTTGTGGTCCTTCACACCAAGTCAGTGTTGTCTAGACCTCCTTGTGACAATGATGGAAATTATCCAAGAAACAGTTCAAAGACAAATGTATCGATCATCGACATCATCCTCATGTTTGTTTCCGTTTTTGGAGTCTTAATTTGCACTTGTATGTGTTTCTGCTGCTGCTTCAGCTCTGACTACTCAGTCTTCTCTGAACCGACTCGACGAACAGTATATCGCGGGATTGTGCTTGACACCAACCCTTCTTGACACCGACCCGGATAACCTTTCTACCCCTTATACACCGACAGACTCCGACAGCGATGTTGTTGATATTATGCGCTGTAATAGTTTGTAGTGTAAAGGATTTTAGTCTTTTTAATCATTGAGTCCAAACTTAAAATAGTTTCAGGATATTTTAGTGTTGGGTATAGTTAAACCTTCAATATTTTAGCCTTGGTTTATATGATTTGTAGTATGTATATATTGCATGTTGACTGTTGTTGTCATAAACACTGTATTAAACTTAAGTATTATTATTAAACAGCAAGGCAAAGTCGAAGACTTAAAGTCCTAGCATTTAATAATACTCTGATTCACATCGGCCCTGGTAGTATGTATTGTTGACTGTTGTCATAAACACTGTGTTAAACTAAGTATTAAACAGCAAGGCAAAGTGAAGTCGAAGGCCATTATATATAAATGTTTCGTGACAATCATGATGTTACAACATGCAGGAACTCACTTATATATATATATAGGGTTTTTTTTTCTTCTTTACAAAAAATCTTTGTTTCTTTGAGATCGACATGCAGAGCTATGAGCTAAACGATTCAAGTGGTAATTGAAATATGTGAATTATAGAGTATTCTTAAATTCTAGGATTATATTATAAGTATAAAGTTGGTTGTGTTTGAGGAAGCATGTCTGGTATTAATTAATATAATGTTTAAATTTCTTCAGACATAAAATTTGAATATTTACTAAAATGAGGGAATAAATTAGGGGGGGCGAAAGGAAATTTACCCGACCTACTGAAAAAATATTTTCCGTGTAAGCTTTCGTCTATCCACAAAAAAATTTTCCTAATCCGTTAAAATTTCTCGTTACTTTTACAAAATTTTTGTAATTTCAACTACTATATTGCATATGTCTTCTTTTTAAACTCCCCCAATTTTTGCTGCCCCCCTCCCCCCGTACGCCTATGTATACAAATTGTTCTCCTAATACATAATCTTGCAGGCGGCATGCTTTTGAATCTCAACTGCTTCAATATACTTTCGTTCCTCTTCGTTCCTAAAGGCTTATTTCCACTCAAGAAAAAATTTCTAGGTTATTTTGTGCTTTATTTTGTCCGATTGTTTGCATAATGTGAAGAATTGTAGTCCTTTTAGAAAAGCTTATGTTCAAACTTAAAATACGTTTAGGGATATTTTAGTGTAGGTAAGGGTATGGTAAATTCTTCAATATTTCAGCCTTGGTTTAATATGACTTGTAGTATGTTGTGCTGACTGTTTTTATTGCATCAATAGGCAGGAACTTAAACATATTTTTGGCTACCTTTATACACAGACAAAAAATCTTTGTTTATTTGATGTCGACACACCCATGGCTATGGGCTACGATTTAAGTGCTACGAGTTAAATAATTCTGAATACAATAAAAAGTTAATGTTTAACACTTTTACTCGCAATGTGCTTGTCTTTCAACATATATTTTAACTCGAAGCTACTGTATAAAAGTTAAAGTTTACAAACATACAGACGAACCCTAAAGAATTTCTTCATATATTCTTTGATTAACTATGATAAAAAAATACAGACAAAGACTTACTATATACATTCACATTTCATGATTTCACACAAAAATGTGTTAAAGGGCCCAAGGAGGGGGGGGGGGAGATTTTGCACGAGTGGGAGTGGGGGGCAACAGGAGGGCCTGGGAGGCCAAATGGCTCCCCAGTTTATACGTTAAAATATGCCTTGCTCGTGAAAAGCCAGCAAGTAAACACAAAGCCAGCTGCCTGTGAGATTAAATATGAACTATGTACAAAACTAATTAAAAGACACCTGCATAATGCTTCCCGAGTGTTTTGATTAAAAAGAATGAATACGCATTTAAATATTAGAAGAATTTCCCGTACTACTTTCGCCCAATTCATGTCCAGCTCTCTTTGTTTTCAAAATTGGTCGTTTTATTTTTATAATAGACAAACTAATCTCTTCTCTTCCAGAGTCATCTTTTATACCCAGAACTTTGCTCGTTTCATTATCATCAATAATATCATCATCGATAGGATCGTCAGTAATCACACGACCATTATCGATTACCTCTTTATTATTGATCATGTCATTATTAGCGATCATATCGTCATCGATAACATCATCATCATTATTGGCTACTCTGTTATCTTCGTTCTCACCAAAAGAACGATATCGAAATCTGGATTTTCTGCTCCCCTTGCACCAACACAGACAGCAAAACGTAACCCAGAATAAAGCATTGCCCAAAGCAACTGCCGCTACAATTCCAATAATAACACCAATGTTCGTTTCATGTCTTTTTGAGCAACTTGCTTGGCATGTGTTGGTCTCTTTACAACATTGTTGGCCGAACCGACATTGGTAAGAATCATCACAAGCTACGACCTCGTGGAGTATTTCAAATCCACAAATGATTAGAAATAAAAGCAGGTCAAAGAACCCCGAAAACGCCATGGCAGCAAACGTCTCCACAGAAACGCTATTCTTCTTTAGTTAAACTGGGACATTCAGAATCACTGCATTGTTTTATACGAATTCAAAACCCGCGATATTTGTACGAATTTCGTATAAGTACTGTTTTTTTACATCTTTATCAGTTGTACTTACACTGTTTAGACTTTTAAGAAGTAGCGATGTTTCTCTATTGATCAGCTTGGCCACTCAATGTTATTGCATAAAATGAGTAGAAAAGTAAATTTGTGTCCGTTCGGGCTTCACAGTTGTTTTAATTTGCGTAGACAAAAATTTAACAATAAGTGGCAATGTCCAAGCTGATTACTACCAATCAATCAAGAGTCGTTGTCCAGCAGCGAAAGTTTCGCGGCATATGGCGTCATCAAACCACAACTGTAGATAAACCTTTTCAGCGAAACAGATTTCCGTGTAGTTTGGCTGTAAAATTACCTGTTGACAATTCTCAATTCACAACGAAGGGTGAACGTGAAGTTTTTTTATTCCAATTTCAAAACAATTATAATCATCGTCAAAGTAAATGGCTTATTCCATAAAACATGTAGTTCTGCTTTCAAATCATATCTTTTTTCCCAGTTGATTCTTACCGCGAGATAGCATCAAGACTAATAGCTAGGCCACGCGCAGAATTGCCTTATTCAAACTACTTAAAAGCAATCTGCCTCATGTCGTTATATCTCTCACCGCCAATTACGCAAAATGCATAATTACAATGTACACACAGTTAATAAGAGGGCCAACTGTTTCCCTCCCTCTCTCCCTCCCAATTCTCCCCTCACCCAATTTGGAATTCCACTTTTTATGAGAACATTCCTCCTACAACACTGAAAAATATCTCTCACATCGCTACAGGAGGTTAAACGTCTCCGCCATTCAGCCATAATTCATATTTTTTTGTTTTGAGATAACTGTCATTTATGGACGTTGATATGTAATTAAAGTTGAAAGTAGTTTTTTGTTGAAAGAGTCTAAATTTTATGACTTTGATTCAATATTTTACAATAGTAACCTTTCCTCTTGCTTTCGTTCACTTGGTTATACTACTAAAATACTCGGTTTTGTAAAACAACGATATATTTTTATGATAAAATACTCCAAGGCAATAAAGGCAATTTGCTCCCAAAACGGCAGGTGTTTGTAGTATATGTCAATTGCATATAAGGATTTTGAGCGAACGGATTTATGCTATTGACCGATGATGACGATCCAAGAAATGATAGTTCTTTGTGATAATTCGTCTGTATGTGAACGTGGCAAACACGCAGATCTCCGTTAGGACGAACTATCTGTTACACTTAGACAAACGTGTGCGCGCGGTTCGTCTTAGTGGATGATCTGCCCATGTCACATGCGTGTAAATACGGAATTATTTATTATCACGAAAATGTCAGACATGATTTGTTCCAGGCCATTTTCAGCATAGATCACGCTGTTCTAACTCTTTGATCCTTGCTACCCAACATCACATAATCTCTGACCAGCTCTCCTTCATTACGTATCCATATCATCCCAACCTTGCTTCCCTCATCTTCTCTGCAATGTCTACCACACCACATCCTCTTTATTCCATAATATCTCCGACCAGTTCTCCTTCATCGTTTCTAATTATGTGCTCGTACCATCTTCTTTGCTTCCCCCTAATGTTCTCTGCAACCCCACATCTACATTCCATGTCTCTAACTAGCTCTCCTTTATTTCTTCTTATTACTTGTCCATATAATCTCAACCTTGCTTCCCTCATCTTTTCTGTAATGTCTATCACTCCATATCTTCTGATCTCTTCATTCCATAAACTCTCTGACTAGCTCTCCTTTATCTCTTCCTATTACGTGTCCATGCCATCTCAACCTTGCTTCTTTCATTTTCTCTTCAATGTCTACCACACCACATCTTAGGGTTTGATCTTTTAATTCCATAAAGTCTCTGACCAGCTCTCCTTCATCTCTTCTTATTACGCGTCCATATCATCTCAACCTTGCTTCCCTCACCTTCTCTGCAATGTCTACCACCTCACATCTTCTTCTGATCTTTTCATTCCATAATGTCTCTGACCAGCTCTCCTTCATCTCTTCTTATTACGTGTCCATACCATCTCAACCTTGCTTCCCTCGCCTTCTCTGCAATGTCTACCACCTCACATCTTCTTCTGATCTCTTCATTCCATAATGTCTCTGACCAGCTCTCCTTCATCTCTTCTTATTACGTGTCCATACCATTTCAACCTTGCTTCCCTCACCTTCTCTGCAATATCTACCACCTCGCATCATCTTCTCATCTCTTCATTCCTCATGGACAAATCCTTTGGCGAAACCTTATCAAATGCTGACCCACTTCACCTCGATGTAGTTTGTTTATTTCTAATCAATGTTTTAAATTATTTTATAGATCCAATTCAATCGAATTCGAGGATCAACAACAACGTCTTGAACAGCAGATCAGAGAACTCATGATGAAGGATGGTGAGTGATGCCGTTGCTCTAATCCATTGAGAGTTTCATTTGAAATCCAGTAGATCTATATGACTGTTGAAGGCTCATATTTACAGTGGTGATAAACTAATGTGATAAACTTTTACCTTTGTGACTGGGGTCTGATTTCTGTAAATTCAGTTGTCTTTTAATTTCAATCACATGTGAGAAAATTGCTTCCAGTTTGACTCTACGAAACACCTCAGGTTTTCCTTGGATGCTGAATTTTCAAAATGATGGGCTTACTGGGCCTCTTGGGAGAACAGTTTAGAAATAATATTAGAAATCCAGTATAATAGAGCTGTCCAGTATCAATAAAGTTAGCTTGGACTTTGGTTTAGGTTTCCTCGTGTAGTATTATTGGATTAATAAGAGATGACTCTTACTGGACCCCTAGAAAGAAAAGTTTAGAACTGATAGAGCTGTCCAGTATAAATAAAGTTAGTTTAGTTTAGGTTTCCTCCTGTAGTAATATTGCATCATTAAGAGACGATCCTTACTGGACCTCTAGTGAGAACAGTTTAGAACTGATAGTGCTATCCAGTATAAATAAAGTTAGCTTAGTTTGGGTTTCCTCCTGTAGAAATACTGGATCATTAAGAGACGACTCTTACTGGACCTCTAGGAAGAACAGTTCAGAACTGATAGAGCTATCCAGTATAAATAAAGTTAGTTTAGTTTGGTTTCGGTTTCCTCCTGTAGTAATACTGGACCAATAAGAGATGACTCTTACTGGACCTCTAGGAAGAACTGTTTAACTGATTGACCTCTCCAGTATAAATAAAGTTAGCTTAGATTAGGTTTCCTCCTGTAGTTAAACAGGATCAATAAGAGATGATCTTCACTGGACCTCTATGGAGAACAGTTTAGAACTGATATAGCTATCCAGTATAAATAAAGTTAGTTTAGTTTAGGTTTCCTCCTGTAGTAACACTGGATCAATAAGAGATGATCTTCACTGGACCTCTATGGAGAACAGTTTAGAACTGATAGAGCTATCCAGTATAAATAAAGTTAGTTAAAGTTTCTTTTTTAAATTTCAGCGAGTACGGAGGATGATCAAATCAAGATTGAGCAACTGACACGGGAGCTTGTGGATATCGTAGAACAACGGAACAATCTGGTAGAACTTTTGGATCATGACAGAAAACGGTATTTACATTTCTCTTCTGTTTATCCAGTAAACTATCATTACAAAAAATGCACTGATGAATATCTGGCCTTACGAATGAATAGTCATGATTATAATTTCTTCCACAACCAAAAAAATAAAATTATTATATTGCGTTCATCTTGCAGCGAACAAGAAGAGGACGAACAGTTTGAAATGATGATGGCGTCCAAAGGTGCGTAAATCTTAGATTATGTTTACACTTTACACTAGAGCAAAAGTTTCCAGATAAAAGTATCCGGATTACTTGTTTTTCAAGTATACGGATCCGCCAGGCGTTTACACTACACAGCCCGACACAGCGATGCTCAATATAAAGTAAATAATTTTAACCCTCTTAGTGATATTATGCGATGTTTTCACCCTGTTTGGCGGTTGAATTTAATAGCAATAAATTTGAAAAACATAACCAGAACAAATTGATTCAGATTCTTTGCGGAAAGCCGTTTACACGAGAGTTTTCTCTGGATTCAAATGTTTCCGGATACGAAGTTCTCACAAACTTTTCCGGATTCAAAGTTTCCGGACACGGCACAAAATCGAGAAGATTTACCATCGGATTCGTCGCTGCGTGTGTAAACGACAACATGAATTCGGTACTAAAACGTTCCGGTTTCGTGTTGAATCCGAAAACTTTCGCTCTAGTGTAAACGGGATCTTAAATGAATCCTGTATTACTTGTATGTAAAGCAGATGCCTTCCTTGTAAGAGAAAAATTGAACCATTTATCATAGTGTGTCGGAGTATAAGCTTATTTATTTTCACTTAAAAATGTGTAAGGGAAGCAGAATTTCTAGTAACATGAACACATTAACCACAAATTTAAATGTTTTACATTTTTTATTAATGTTTTACATATTTTCATTCAAAATTACCAAAAGATCTAAGTCTCCGGTCGTTTTTGATAACAAAATCAGTTCATCAGTTCTGTCCTTGTTTACGTACATGGCAATAACACAGGGCATTTGTAGACTTCTTAGCTTAGGGGGCATTTATAATTCCGCTTTAATTTGGTTTAAACTGGATGCTTTTATTTTTTAACTGTTCTAAACTTCTAACCAGACATTCTTGTTTTGTTTTAGGATTTGTTTTGCCTTCATGATCAGTCAAGTGAACGTGAAATTCACATCGTGGGTCACCAGTGATGATAATCACGCAATAATTGTATCCTATTCAGAATGATGCATTCAATGTTCACGTGATAGTTCATATTAGAACGTAATTAACACATGGTAATCACGTGAGAAACATGTGATAAACATTGTATGTGATTATGACACCATGATCACAAAAATAACTATTCGATGGGAATGTGTGTCGTGTCCATTTGACACGTGATGTTCACACAGATATCACATGGCATCCAGGTGTTGGCCATGCGATGATCATGTGACCTTAATAGAAAAAAATTATAGATAGAGACAATTGATATTGAATATATTAGTATTTCTAAATTAGAATGCCACAAAATTGTAGGACATTGTTGAATTGAGGAAATCTCTCGCCTCTGAGGAGAGAATTAAAGAGCCTAATGGATCAAATACTAAATTGTATGGATAAATGACTTGTCTAGAAATTACAATTTTAAGATCCGAGATATATTAAGCTACGATGCATCAACATAAAATCAATAGGAGAGTATCTAGCCTCACCTGCAAGGAGGGATGCAGGTTTTCCATGGGGTGGTGTATGAGGGAGCCTTACTGCCCACTCTCCTCTGCAGTCTGCAACGCTACTATCCCAACATTACCATAATTTGAGATGGCCAAATCTGCATGTTCGCCGTTCTGTTACGTTTCACATTATATTTTGTTCATAAAGTTTATATCAGCTTTTTATCGTGTACGTGTGACTGGACAGTTGCTGTAGCACAGTACAGTAAATTTGTTAAAGTACATAATATAAATATAGCTGTATAACAACCTCGACATGCTTACATATTTAACCGTGATATTTAACTAAAGCATTCTGAGTATTTTCTTGTGAGCTCACAAATCAATTAAATCGTTTCAAGAGGTTGACACGCACTAACAGTAAGTCTAATCTAAGAAGTTTGTATAGTCGCTATTTGAAAAGCAGAAAATGTATATTTATGGTTAAATGATGCCACTGAAAATGAAAGCTCACTATAGACACTTTTCCCTCAAAGTTGCCATGGGTTATACTCTTCAAAAGAGGCCTAGCCATCCAGACTGGGAGTTAATAGTAGCAAAGTTATCTAGAATGTCATTTGGGTGGCAGCATTCTTTGTTGTGTATTCCATATTCACATTTAACATGGAGCAGATCTAAAATATGGAAAGTTATATTATTTAGGACATTTTAATCACCACTTGGCTTGCAATTGTTGCTCTATGAAATCACATGGAAGAGGTGGTGCATCATTAGGAGATTGCACACGCAACAATCTCACATCTTGTAGTTATTAAAGTCTGCCAACAAGCTGTCAACAAGTTGTGTTCGCACTGCTTGTCCCAAGTTGTCAACAGGTTTGGAACAAGCTGTTAACAACTTGTAACAACCTTGTTGATATTATTAAGGTCCAGACACACCGGGCGCGATTCGGCAACGCGACGCGATTTTTTAGTTTTTGAAAGTTAATAAAACAGCCAATGAGAGCAAATTTTGAAAGAAATGTTGACCAAATGACTCAAAATGTTATAGCGCTTCTAAATATTTAGAAAATTTAAACTAGGATCAAAGTTATCGGTCGAAAAATCGCGTCGCGTTGTCGAATCGCGTCCGGTGTGTCTGGACCTTCAGACTTGTTGAAAGGTTGTTCCAATAAGTTCGATACAATCATGACATAACAATATT